AAAAAACACTTTAATCGTTTTGTTTATTGCTTTAAACTTAAATCAGTAGTGTGCGAGGAAAATTTTTCAGGGGGGGGGGGGGGTTTTCCAAAAAAAAAAAATTCCCAACAAAATTAAAAAAATTTTCGTTTTTTTTTTTTTTTTTTTTTGGAAGTCACTTCCCCCTACCCCCCCTCCGCACACTACTGACTTAAATATATCACTTGTTTTGGCTCTTTCAATGTACAAAATCGATTAAATGTTGAAAAAATAATACAAATTATCCAAATATGAACTTGAGAGATGAGTTTTGTTTGTGTTTTTTTTACATCGCAACGCTAATTTTTTTCTATAGCAAAAAATCACTACAAATTGAATCAATATTAAACCAAATTCAGTTTTAAATCTTTCATTGGATATTTAACAATAAAATTTAAACATGAAAAAAATTTAATAATTTAAAAAAAAATTTCATGCAAAATAATTTTACACTGAGCTTCCAAAATCAAAGTGTAAAATGACTATTCACACTGGGAAGAAACAACTTCATTGTGAATGGGCGAAATACAATGACACTTTCATGTTTACACTGTTCAATTTCTCTGAGTACAAAACAATTCTTTGGAAGTTTTCACTGTGGCGCATAATGTAAATCTAAAAAGGTTCTGATTGAAAGTAATGCGTCACAACAGTGGGTTTCTGAAGAAGTGTCTTATACTTGAAACAATAGTTTTTTACTATTTCGATAACGAAATCCTAACGTCAAGTGTGTCGACTATCAAGACCCATATATTTTATAGCAAAATAAATGTTAGATTCTGTTTTAGAAAGAAAAAAATATATTTATTGGGTGTATGCATTAATTTCCGGATTTTTTTGGTGAAAAACAAACTTTATTTAATAACAATAAGAATGAGTACATTAACCAATATTGCCCATCGTTAGCTATGACTTCCGCCCATCTTCTTGGTAGCTTGTCGATTCCGCGTCGAAAGAATTCCTCATATTTTGAGGCTATCCATTCATCGATCCATTTTCGCACTACTTCAGGATTTCGAAACGATATCTCGGACAAACCCATTTGCATCGATCGAAACAAGTGGTAGTCAGAAGGAGCAAGGTCTGGAGAGTACGCGGGTTGATCAAGCCGATCCCAACCGAAGTCTTGTACTTTTTTTTCTAACGACGTCTGCTCGATGTGGCCTGGCATTATCATCGTGAAACACAACTTTGTCTTGTTTAGACGCTATCCGTGGCCGTTTAATCTTCAATGCATGCTCCATTTTGATTAATTGCATGCGGTAGCGTTGGGCTTTAACCGTTTCACCTAGTTTTAGCAGATCATAATACACGACACCTTTTTGATCCCACCGCACAGCATGACCTTCTTGCAATGAATGTCTCGTTTTGACTGCGATGGTCACTTTTCATCGCCCGTGACAATTCGACTCAAAAAACTATGTTTTTTGTGTTCTTTGAGATGTTCTCTGCATGCTGTGATTCGTGCTTTGAGTTGATTGAGGTATTTCGATAACGAAGTTCAGTTGATGTGGTACTCATTTTCCTAACTTTCGAATCTTTCCCATTGCATGCAAACGTCTGCAAATGGTTGCTTGGTCGGTATTTAATTCCAATGCAAGTTCTTTCTGCGTTTGACATGGATCATCGTCCAATAATGCTTGCAAATCCTCATCTTCCAACTTTTTTGGCTGACCTGGTCGTTCTTTGTCACGCACATCAAAATCACCACTTTTGAAGCGTTGAAACCAGTCGTAACATTTTGATTTTGCGAGAGCATGTTCGCTATACAATTCCACAAGTAAAACATGACTTTCAGCTGCACTTTCCTTAGAAAAAAGTGACCCAACAAAACTTCGCGCAAATGCTGGTTTTTGCGCCAATTTTCAAAATTTTCCATGGTTGTGAAAAAATATGCTGCGCACAAACAAATGAAACACTTTTGACTGATTTTGACAGTATTTGAATAGGCCTTTCAAATGACGTATATGTCATTGATCTACTACAACGAACAAGCAAGTGGTGACATCTGATGTCCGAGTCCGGAAATTAATGCATACACCCAATACATCAACAAATTACATTTGATTTTAAAGTATCAATCAATTTATTGTTATTATAAGACTGAAAGTGATATTGAGATAAAACATAGAAAAATTACTTTATGTATTATGTTCCGTTTTGTTTTTTTTTTTGAAATCACTTTTTTCTTATAAAGTATTAGAAATCATTTTTCGGAGAAATGTAACCCATCTTACTGACTCAAAGAGCATTGTAACAATGTCCCATCACAAACATTTCGAAAACGCAATTGATTCCGACGACCCACAAAGTGATTGATTTCGCCGTTTACAGCTCATCAGTGCAGCTTTGTAGGACGTTACCATCTGCAGATCAAATCACTGTTAAGCGTGACTTATCAGACGGTATCGAGGTCTGCCGGATATTACCGGGCAAGAAAAAAAAAACTCCAAACAATTGAGAAAATGATTGTTTGTGCCCAAAACATGTCATTTCATGTGATATCGAGTGTTTTGAGAAAACTTTTTCTTTAAGTTTGAATTTTAATCACTTTTTTCGTCCAAAATCTCTAGAAAATCGAAAAAATTCTCATCATTTCACAAATTGATGAGCTAGAAAAGATCTCTTTTTACTTATTGAATCTGAAACCCTAGGCAAATTCGAATAATTTAAGGGAATTATGCCATAATCTATGCTTTAAAATTAAATGTAAATATAATTCGTTCTTTTTGGTCAAATATTTAAAACAAAAAATTGCTACGAACGAACGAACACAAATTTCATTTTTTTCGCCTACGATTGTAGCCAACAATAGCCCCACTTTACAAATTTGGACCTTTGAAGAAATCAAATAATGTGGGTTTTTCAAATAGTGCATTATAGCACGAAATTGAGTGCGCTTCCGATCTATGATGAAAAGCTTATTATACATTTTTTCGAGAATATTTATTCGAAAATAAAGATTGACTTCGCCCCCATCTGTCCTATGTATGTTGATATTGATTCACTTGGAGGACTGTCGACTCGATTACTCCTAGTATTTGCAAAAAATAATACAGATTTTTGCTTACCTCAATACAGATTTTCAATTCATGGGCAATACTCCTTGAACCCTAGGGAGCACGGTTTTTTTAAGTGAGTGAAGGCGGTTAAACCGTTTTTAAAAAATGTATAAAAAATGAGGAAAAATCGTACTCGAGGAAAATTCTCGAAGAAACACGTATTTAAGTGAAGCACTATTGCTTTATGCGAAACGTAGTGAATTTCATGAAGCATAGGAATAATATATTATAATTCATAAAAATATCCTCGAGAGTGTTTTACTCTAGTGTTGATTTGATTACTTTTAATCTAGGTGAACTTTGTTGAAAAAAAATGCAGTCATATGTTGCAGCAAATTATGTTGAATTCCTTATAAAATAACCTTTCAAATGGTATATAAATTATGGTGTTTGCGGCACCCATTTGGCCGATATATGAAAAATTGGGAGATAAATCGGCTTCCGAGTCTCATTGCAAGAAACCAAGTCCTATGATTTTGATTAATCTTTGCCAGATGATAGCTCTCAATGAACCATTTCCAACAGTATAAAGCTTATTAGCCAACCAAAACTTCATTCAATTTCAAAAAAATTCAAAGGGGTAATTTCAGCTTCACCATTCTATGTAAATCTCTCCGAAAGAATATTCCGATTATTTTTCTCACTTTGTAAAGGGGTAATTTTCTAAATCCATTCTCCATGAGGTTAGACCCCTCGGACCCCTGGTCAGAAGCTATTGTAAACGATACGAAAAAAAATATTGGAAATGTCAATTTTCAAGGTATAAATTATTCAAAAAATTTCACTCAAAAATTCAAAGTATGTATTTCGGGTAGCCTATTTTTCTTAGTATTACCAAAGACTGGCAGTGTATCTTTTTTATGTCATAAATCGAAAGAGCACACAAATTTGTGCCGGTATGCATATTTTTAGAATCCACATTTTTGAAAGTTGATTTATTAGAAATTTTTTAGATTTGATACATTTCCATTACAATAATTACCTGAAGTGACAAGGAATAGAAAGATTTGAAACAACATGTTGTATGAAGTTCATACTATGAACAACTCTCTGAAAACTCAGATGTTAAAATTCCACAAAATGCCATTTCAACATGGAGAAATTTCGTCACATGTTAAAATGCCGTTTTACCCGCCAAGAAATGTATTGCGGGTAAAATGGCATTTCACCATGGGAAAAAATACCCCCATGTTAAAATGGCATTTTGCTCTGATTACTTTGAATTTTAACATCTGAGTTTTCTGAGAGAATGTATCAAATCTTTTTTTTTCTAAAAAATATCAGTTTCAGTTTATTCTTAACCCTAAAAGTCATTGAAATAACGAGTTTTGGCTCCGGTTATCTCAAAACTTCGAATCGATCGGACAGGACGGTTGGCTCTAGGAGGAGACGCAAACGATAAAATCCTGATTCCATTATATATAAACACTTAACCCACTATCTACTATTCCGTCACAGACATTTTGTTACTAATAATTTAAATTATTTTTTTCAACAATAATATTTTGGGAAAGTGATTCTCTTGTTGAATTTGTAATCGACTTAACTAAATAACTAAAAAATATTTATAAAAAAAGAAGGGTTGGCACCAATTCATGTAAAATCAGCGTGAAAAACTGGGATATACCAATTGATTCAAACAAAGTTTCAGACAATTTTGATCAAGTTACAAAAAATTTGTTTCTAAAAATGTGCATACCAGCACAAAAGTGTACGCTTCTTCGATTTATGGCATAAAAAAGTCAGGTTAATAACGTGTTCTGTTCGAGATATTTACGATTTTTCCTTATTTTTACTCGATTATCGCCTCAGGCTGTAACCCCACTTAAGCTGAGCTGGAAAAAGTGGCCATATACTTTTTTATTCCATAGTGTCCATGGAATCTGTAGTAGGAATATTGCCCATGAATTGAGAATATCCCTGAATAGCTGCTCGAATATTATTTGTTTCGTTTTCTTCTCTTTCTTCCAAAAAAGACTTCCGTACAGTGGTATTTTCGGAGGTGTTTCTGCTATGACTGTAAAGCAGTTTAAAACTGTTAACGGGTTTTCAAACTCATTTTGGGGTTGGGGAGGTGAAGATGACGATATGTCTAATAGGTATGTGCCTTTTTTTTCAATCTGATATTAAAGAATCTCAACAAAAAGAGTATGTTTTATTATTTCAACAATTTCAAAGACAGGAGACTCTTGCAGTTTCAATCTTGTTTTATCAAATTTTGAGCTTGTAGTAATTGGTATTAATGTAACGTTCTTGTCTTTCGAATATTGCACAACAAGCCAAAAACCCATGATCAAAGTCTACCAGTTGACGCGAAAAGGTCTGCAACTCTTGAAAATGAGATGGTCGAAAACCATAGATAATAGACGCACGTGTACACTGAGTCTAATATTTTTGGTAGACAAAATTTAGCATGAATATTATTTATTTTTATTTTATTTATTTTCGTATATGAATCCTATGTCAATGGAGACTTTCTCTGCTTACTTTGATTGTTATTTTGTCTATCAAAAAAATACTTAGCAATTGTAGCTATTTTCGGATCACGACTTTTAAACACATGCCGCGCGAATTCCGGTGGTAGTTATCTAACGCTTGATCTTGGATAGAACGTAATGTAATGTTCCTTATTTACCAAGTGGTTAAACAAAATTACAATAGTTCGGCCACATTTAAGATACTTGGGCAAGACCACAAAATCAGGCCTAGCGATATTATAATTATAATTGTTAAAACCAAAAATCAAAACTAAAACTAAGAAGCTGCTGCATTTGGCTCGGCCTCAACCGCGTATGTATTGAATCCGTCGAAATGTATTTCGATTCCTGCATTCCGTCTGAATATATCGGGAGTGTAGCCCATGAATAATTCAATGCGACCTGAAATCAATTTAAACAAAATGTATAATATATTCTGATCTCCATTTATATAATTGAAATATTACCTTTGTATAAAATACATCTATCAGCCGCTATGTCGCGATGGCAAACAGTTTTCAATACTCTTTCATCTTGATTTTGTTCTTCTTCGGGAGCATTCACCATTTCAACATCCATCTCACTTTCATCCTCGATATACACTTCTTCGGCAGCATTCGCCATTTAAACATCAATCGCGTTGTCATCGATAACATGCATTTCGGCCAATTGTTCAGCAACATTCTCCGCTTCAGCATTTGGTTCAATGATTGGACGCCAGTTTTTTCGGTATACTTTAACCTTAGACACCAATCTAACCAGTAAACATATCGAAGTGTTAAAAAAAGTTTTAAATTTCCTTAGTACAGACCGATATAAAGTGGCGAAAAAATAAGTATGTGAAAATAGGGGGTGCCCATACCATGAGGGGGGGTCGGGGGAGCACCCCACTGTCAAAATTTGGTCGGATCAAAAAATAATGTACCACAAAGTTGTTCAGAATGACAAGAGAAATTTTTTATGACCCCTGCCCTCCAACTCCCCCCACCCCCAGGGGGGTCGGGGGGTCAAAAACCCCCAAGATATGATTTTTTTTACTCGAAATCTCGAAATTCGGAATCAGCATCCCAAATTACCCTAGAAATGATATTTGTCTCGTGCCCATTCACCCCAAGTCTCCCAACAACAAAGAGCCCCCCCATTGGGGTAAAATGATACAAAGTCGATTTTTCACATTTTGGGTGAGGAATTTTGTACTTAAATGTATGGCCAACTATAACTAATTTTATCCGCACATTTCATTTAGGCCATTGCCCATCCCCTCCCATCACCCCCAAGGGGGGTCCCCCTACAAAATTCACGAAAATTTCGAAAAATACCCCGAAATCGGGTCCATATCCAATCTAACCCCAAAATTAATAACATATTCGAATTCCTCGTGAAAAATTACCTATAGGCCCCATACATTGTCAATCTCCCTTGACATATGTTTAACTCCATCTAACTTGAACCTTTAATTCGGGTCGAAAACTAAAAATACCCCATTTCATTGTGACTTCACAATGGAATATTCACCCCTTATGACTCAAATGGGCATTTAGGTTTCTTCTAATGAAAGTTACGCATATCAATGTAGTTTCCATTGGAATATAATTTTGGCCGCCCTGAATGACCCAATTCGGAGGGCGGGGGTCAAAATAATATAAAAATAAACCCTTGCCCTTTTTTTCTGTTGTTATCAATAATAAAAATATTCTTGAAATACATAAAATTGACGGTATTGAATACAACACTTATAAAGGGTTTGTTATGACTTTTACAGGTTGCTTGTTTTTGAAAGATTTTTTTTGCAGCAAGCAAATCACAGTGAAAACTTGTGAATCTTATTTTCTCACCAAAATACATAATCTGGCAAACTTTGAGGAAATTTCAATGAAGGTTAAGGATTTTTTGACAGAATCACAAACACTTAATTTGTATTTACATGCGTGGTACCATACAAAAATCCATTTTTTTTTATTTCTTCGTGAAAAAAGTGTCGAATATTGATTGTATTACAAAATTAAGGCCAGAATCGGTTTTCTCGTGCCAAAAAACCCCCGGGGGACCATTTTTTATTGAATTTTCAAAGTGCTCAAAATTCATAAAAATGTGATTTTTTTTAAGAAACCGCCTGGAGCCGCGCTTCACCAAAAATCATTTTTTTTCGAATTCGATGTTATAGTCATGTTTCTATGACCTTCCTACAGAGGTTATAGGGGTACGATTTTTGATTATTGAAAAAATGTCAAAATCGAACCACTCTACTGTTCATATTTCGGTATAGTCTGAAACTGTTTCAGTTCATTCTTCTTAGCGCAAAAAGTAAGAATCGTTTTTGTAACGACTCAATTCTTGTGCACATATTGTCGTAGTGTGGGTTCCATATTTCAAATCCATACTCAATAATCGGTAATATAAATGTAAAGTAAAGGCGTTTTAACGTCCATGGGTCAACAAAATCCCTCCTGTTGAATTTTAACCAAGCCAATCTTGATTTTGCTTTAGCAACAACATCTCGATGTGTGATTTCAAATTCATCTTCACATCAAGCAACACATCCAAGTCCGTTATTACAAAGACTCTTTCAATTCTTACGCCGCCTATGTTGTATGTTGTAGTGGTAGTCATATTCTAGTAATCCTCGATGATATATCAGCATATGGATGATAATTTTTACTGAAACGATTTTAGTTTTTTTTACTAAAATTTTAAAGTAAAAATAACTAAAAAATTTCCCTTCATACTACCGAAAAAAAATTCCATAAAATTGACTATAAATTTTCAGTAAATATATCAAAAAAAATTCCCTTCATGAAGGGAATTTTTTTAGAAATTCCCTATCAGCATATGGATGATAATTTTTACTGAAACGATTTTGGTTTTTTTTTTCTAAAATTGTAAAGTAAAAACAACGGAAATGTAATTTCCGCCAAAATTTCTATGGTTTTTCCTATAAATATAACTAAAAAATGTCCCTTCATATTACAGAAAAAAATTCCATAAAATTGACTATAAATTTTCAGCAAATATGTCAAAAAAATTTCCCTTCATATTACCGAAAAAAAAATCCATAAAATAAACCGATTTTTTTCAGAAATATTTACTCAAGTTTAATTGTAGATTTTATGGGAAATTTTTTAGAAAATAAAATGAAAATATTACGGTAAATTTAAATGAAAAAAGCGTTACATTTTTTCAGTAAAAAATACTAAAAAAATCGTTATGTGTGCGGATATGGTATGATATGATTTTTGTTTTGTTGGTATTTAAATTTATTAATAGATTTCGCCCGTAGTAATCTGCTACGTGAGTCAAGTCATTCAGAAAAAGTATGCAATCATCCAATGAGTTGATACACTTTGATAGTTTTGTATCATCAGCAAATGAAAGAATGCATGAATTGTTCACGACAAATGGTAGATCGATGACAAACATGATGAACGATGAACAAAAGAAAAAATACAAATAATGAGTACATTGTTCACACTGAAATGAATCAACCGGCATTTACATCTCGGTTCCATGTTTTCGAATCCACGAAGTTCTGTTGCCTTTAACATTTTTGAAAGAGTGCCTTTCGTCGATAGCATTTGGCTGGTGAGTTGGCAATTTCTACCGAGAGTAGTTGTAATAAGCGACTGATGATGCTAACATGAGTTTAGCGAAACAATTGTATCGCAAGATATATACATTAAAGTGACAATAAGGTGTTCAAAAATCCAATTTGATTTGTGTTTTACTAATTATTACTTAAAAATTACAAAATTGCAAATGTTGTTTTTTTCAAATAAAAGCTAACATTCTAAAAGTTTTAAGGAATTCCAATACATTTTGGAAGTACCTTTTTTGGTCAAAAATGAAAATGTTTTATGGGAGGTACACCCAAACTCTCTTGAGATTGTGTATTTTGGCAAAAAATAAGATTCACAACATTTTATGGTAATTCAAATACTTCAAACAAACTTTTATTGCGTTTTGTTAATTCGAAATTGAAAGGATTTTAATTTTAGATCATCTGCGAATAATAAAACAAAAGCATTTGATACTATTTCGACAATGTCTTTAATAAAAACAATAATTTTCTTGCCAAATTACATAATCTCAGCAAATTCGAAGAAATTTCAATTCATATTAGGGGTACTTCCCATACAACATTTGTGTTCTTGAGCAAAAAATCCAAAACTTTATTCGATGGTACCCCTACACACAAAAAAATTTGCGGAAAAATTTAATGTAAAAGCGGTTACTGAGTAGTGTGTGGTTAAATTTAAAGGCAATGCGGTTAAAATTTCGTCATTTGGATTCTTTAATATTAGAATTCACCGCAATTTACCGCATTCATACAAAAATGACCGCACACGCATAAGAGTAAAAGTCAAACATTCAATCCACCATTGTCTTTTTTCTTGAATTCAAATAATAAAGATAAATAAATAATATGTATTATAAAAAGAATAGTTTCATGTATTTAACGAGAATGTTTTATAACAATCAATTCATACTCGAATATGGTGGATTGAATGTTTGACTTTTACTCTTATGCGTGTGCGGTCATTTTTGTATGAATGCGGTAAATTGCGGTGAATTCTAATATTAAAGAATCCAAATGACGAAATTTTAACCGCATTGCCTTTAAATTTAACCACACACTACTCAGTAACCGCATTTACATTAAAATTTACCGCACATTTTTTTGTGTGTAATATGCAGTGAAACTTTTTCAAATTCTCGGAATGTTATTTTTTGTGAAACAAATAACCTGTGCAAAGTTAAAGCTCATTACGATATCATACAGGCGTGGTATATCAATAAAAAAATTCAAATTTTTATAAATGGGTTAGCAAGTTGCCATTTTTCTCAAAAAACGCAAATTTTTCATAATTTTTTCGATTGTGACCATGTTCATGGATCAGTTCGACCTAAATGCTTGTCTGACCCTTCAAATTGACTTTAATCAATATTTTTAATGATTTGTCATGACATACAATCCATTAGAATGCATTTAAAATGATTTAAAACTATTTTGTACTCGGCTAATGTCATCGAAAAAATGCTTGAGAGTTGAAAAGTACCTTGAGTGCCTGGCCATTTTTCGGCCCTTATATGTTGTCGAATCACTGCGAAACCAGTTCCATTCGATTCCTCGTTGAAAATTAGGTGAGAAATGTGGTATTTGCATTGTTGATCGGATGGTCTATCCATGAAATATGGTCCAGTTTCCGAACCAATCCGGACCCTTCGCTGAAAATTGCAACAAATAGCACATTTGTATGAACAAGGTCAACTCATATGGGAAACTTTGGAAAATCTGTAGCTTCCAAAGTGTTTGTATGGTCCTGAGGTGTAGCTGGCGTCACGCTTGATCGACCTATTTTTAGTTTTGGTATGGGTTTTCCCGATTTTTTGAGGAAAAAAAGCGAAAAAAGTCCGAATTTTCCGGATTCTTCGATCTGGATGGTATTTAACCTGAAAATTTTTTTTTAACAAGGACTATTTCGACGTAATTTTTGACGAGGAATCGATTTAACACAATAAAAATGCGATCCGATGGCGTCTAGATTCAGAGGGTCATCAGAGGGTCATACCATAGAATATGAAAATGTACCGGGCCGAACGGAGGTTCATCTGGGGTCAAAGTCGTAGAACAAAAGTTGTTTGTATTGAGGTCCTCTATAATAAAAAACATGTCTATGGTACATTTCATGAAAATGGATCAAATGACCCACCCTAATCCGAACATTTATCAAAAATTGCAATGTTTATTGTACTTTGTTGTAAAAACAGTGTTCAAAGAATTCAATGAAGAATGACAACTGAATATTCATCAAAAATCAGTGCTTCCAATGTTGAATCCATTTGATCAGAACGTATTTTGTTGTGTAAAAGGATTCATTCAATACAAAGTTAAAATAATATATTTCAATTCTATATCACTATTCTTCATTTTTATTATCTACGATATTAACAATACTGAAACCAATGACTTTATTTATCATTTCAAACACAAAATAAATATAGCTCCGTCGGCACTACTCAGATACAAACAACAAAATTTGAATACAATTGATAGGTTATGTTGTTAACGGATAGAAAAGATCACAGAAGTAACAAATGTGTTTACTTCAGTTTATGCTTTTATGAACAAGTGATGGAGTTCAAAAGTTATTTTTCAGAAAATTACAGTATTTACATTTTAGATATGTTTTTGACCTTAGGATTTTTTCTTGTCCATTTGGATTTTTCAAAAAATCCAACAATTTAGTTTTTCAATAGAGTGTAGTACATCTTTTATTTATGAGTTACCTTGTGCAATCTTGTTTAAAAACGTAATAGAATTGAAACATTCAAAAAAAGCGCGGCCTTCAGAGCACGATTAGTTTGAAGGGTTCGAGCGTCATAAATCTTTGTGTAAGTAATTATATTTCAAGAAAATGTGGCGATGGTTTGCTTGTATCGGGCTACAAAGAGCAACAAAATATGTTGGATGTAGATCTCATTAGTTAAAGTGAATTTTCACAGCTTGTACTCGTAAAAATAAAGAAAAAATGAAATGTCCTTTTTACATTGTCGAACCTCCCTTATCAAATTTCTGCGGACGCTCTTTATTCTAGACTAATAGTAACGTCTAAACTACATTTTTTTTTTCTAAAGATTGAAACATGTTGGATTCCACATAGCTAGATATCCAATCAATATAGCGCGCTATAAAATGCTTAGCCATCGTAAGGAAAAAGCAAATCCAAAACGGTGAGTAATGATGTAAAGTGGTCACATAAATAAGTTTAAAACTTTCTCATACATAGATACGAGAAGTTAGTCACTGGCACTAAAAGATTCGACATAGAAGGATTAAACTCTTTGAAATATGAAGTTCGGGCTTTTGAACGCAAAGTATTATACACCTGGATTTTAGCAGAAATTAAACAGGATTCGGTAATACAAATCGTAATACATTAATAATAATTATACATGTTTAAGTGTTTAAATTTTTGTCTCTTTTCACATCATTTTTATCGTTCACATAACAATGAAATGGATTTTACTCCAGCACAGCTGATTAGTGCATTGGCATCCTTTTTTACAAGAATATAACAGAGAATGTTAAAATTAGTTTTTATATATTATATCCATTCCATTTATGTACAATATTTTAGTATTTTCAATGAAATTACATGATATAACATCGCATTATTCGAATATGTATCTTGCCAAAGTATGTCTTCAGATTTGTATTTTGGAATTTAATTTGAAAATGATATAAATTTGTGAATAAAAGGAAATTTATTATTATTGAAAAAAAATCTATTTATTGTTTTATGACCGGAAAATAAACTTTGCTAAGACCGTGATGCTGATTAATCTTCCACAATGAAGATCGTAATTTTTTCAATTTAGTTTTTTCTGTTTTTTAATAAAAAATGCCGATAGTTTTATGAAAGGGAATCTTTTCGAACTTCTTTTCGAACTTCTTTCGGTAGTCCCATAGGAAGTGGTCAAGTAAAATGGAATTTACATTTGTTCTGGGAACATCGGGATAATTTAATTCAAGCTCAGCAATTACACGTTTTTTCAATTCTTCAACTATAAAAGAAAATAATTAACAAGTTTTTTGTTACAAGTGGTCATGTTACTTATTTATGTTACTTATTACCGACGAATATTGTCGTTCCACGAATTTCTACTTCCTCTTTTGAACCATTTTCCAAAATTGTATCTATAACATTTATACGATTAAACTTGTATATTTTATTGTATATTTTGAGAATTACGATAAGAAAGTTGGTTTTAACATACCTTCTTGCAATAGTTTCATAAGATGATCATCGTAAGTCATAGCACCAAAATAAACAAGAACTTGAGGTACACGGTAATCAGCAAACATGGTGATATATTCAATATCTTCAAAAAAACCATCGCCTTGGCCGCCAAAAAATGCCCACTATATAAATAGTTTGGTTTTAGTAAATAATGGAGAATTCAACAATATTTTTCATGCCAACCAGGTCTCCAATCAAAATTTGTGCACGTTTATAAATAGAAATTCCTATGCCATTCCATTCTGCTTCGTCACGATAGCAGGGAAATTCATCGGTAACAATCCGCAAGAGACGTCTTGCAGAGTGATCAGCCTCAATAAGACAACTTTCGAATTTCGCATCAAATTTTTCAATCAATATAGTACCGACCTCATGCAAACATTTGAGACGTTCTTCAAGCAAAGGCACTTTAGTTTCATTGTCATCTCCACGCAATATATCCTGATTTATATAAAGCAAAAAAAAGTAATTAACAATTTTTTAGATACAAATGGTCATGTTACTTATTACCGATAATTCTTCGATGGTAATTTTCGAATAGTAATTTGCGTTTGTAATATCAATTCCACGATTTATTGCTGCCTAGGGTTAATCACAAAGAAAAGAATGGAAATAATGGAAATTAATCAATATGTAATGGAACGTAATGGAAGTAATGGAAGTAATGGAAACATATAATGAAAATCAAATATGTATAGTTTAAGAGCAAAGTAATCGTCACACATTTGCAACAACATTGCTTTAATTTGAGATTTGGTAGTAGTGTTAAGAATCGCGTTCTGCTGTGGAAGAAAAACAAAAACAAAATGCTTAATATAGAATAGCACTTCGTGCCAAGGCCACTACCTATTTCAATAAAAAAAAGAATGGAAAGTAAAAAAAATATCATCATCAATATATCAATTGGTCTAAAATGAATGAAACCAAACGACACTTACTCACACAACGTAAATTACTCGTAGACTGAGTAAACTACGGGAGACGGCCGAGGAGGATATTCATTTAATGAGCGGCATTATTAGCCGCCCGTTGTCGTAAATAGGCAGCACTCCGATTGAAATCACCATTGATTGGAATATCTTGTATCATACACAATGCTTTGTATATCATATTGCGTGATGCATTCAGATCACGGTCAAAAACAATAGTTTGCTTGCGTCCATTGTATTGTTGATTCGCGATAGAATGTCCATAATGCTTGAGATTCGGTTCCAATTCATGGCGATGTTTTTGTCGGAATGTATGATGAATTTTGCCTATCCACTCATTTGGTGGTGGGAGAACATGGTTAAGGGCCGGTTCGCAGTTGTTGCAAACTAAGAAACTGAACGATACGATAAAATTAACATTCATTTCATACGACACATTTACTGAATAAAATAAAAATGCAATACAAAAAACAATAAACTTACCGATCCTTTGGATTCATATTCTCCGGTCTTTCGCGGTGCAATGGTTGGTCTAAGATATCATGATCACGACTACAGAGCATCGATGTTCCTGGCTCATGAACAGCCATTATGCGACAATATCGATCAATGGTATGCGTTATGAAGGCCTGTGGTGTTCTGCAGTGTCCCTTTATCGGCGAATTTGCACCGATTTTTGCGTCACCCAATGCATACACGATGGTCTGTTGTGCTTTTGGAATTTCTTTTTCGAGTAGGGTCATATCACGGGCCACTTGATGTGCGGCAACTTGACGTTGAATGTGCTTGTCCAGCTCTAGTCGGGCCACACGCCGTTGGTAATGCACTTGACGTGATGCCATAAAGGAATCCAAATTGTATTCCAAATATAGCTGGTGATTTGCGCTTTTGCTCGATGGTTGTTCGCCGTAAAGTGCGTGTAAATCATTCCGCTTTTGCTACAATTCATCTTCCAAAACGCCCGTGTATCGTCTCAATCTGTGCTTGCGATTACGTGCACCCGATTTGGCATACCACTGTTTCGCTGTCAATTTATAGCTCCATTCGAGTGTACTCTTCAGATCACGGCTTGTTGTCGATCGTGATACTTTGGCGCCCGGATCATCTCCAATGATCTTTGTGATTTGACCAGCTCGAAACGCAGCTTTAATGTCTTCCGGACATTTTGGCGGCTCTTTCTTTTCGTACTGTTTCTTGCCCTTTTTCTTCTTATTCATTTTCTTACTCGTTTTGGTCGGTGCACTCGTATCACGCTTTCGACGAATCATTCTCAGACATGCTGTCACACCGTCGGTCGTAAAATAGTTGCCGAAAATTTGTCCGTTACGATTTATTTTCCGCAAATTTACATACCGATTCCAAAATGCATCGTAATCATTGTTATCCCAATTTGGTTTGTCATTTCTTCTTACTTTATCTTCTCTGCGGGCATACAATAAATTTGTCATGTCGATGAAATCTTCCGTATCGAATTGAACATGTTTGCGTTTGTTCTTCGATTGCGGAATGGCACGAAACGACCGCCACTGCTCATTTGGATTGGCCACATTGTGCTGTTGAATCCAACGCTGTAAATGGATCAGCTCGTGCACGTGTTTATAGTACTTGGTATCGTCTGTTGTAGTCCACAACCAGCCACGTGGTATGAGATGGTCGTCTTGGAACACAACATTTTCAGGATCATTTTCGTAGAGAGCAATACGGTCGAGTGGCAACAATGGATGCAACTCATTGTAGTATTCGGTTAAATGCGCGCGAGTGCCGGCATACAGCTCGACTTCCGAATCTTCGTATTGCAAAAAGTCCATCAACACATCAATCTCCTGTTCCATAATATTTTTGCGCTTGAAATAATTGCGAATGTGATCGTTGCCATGCATATTTGTGTTATTGCGCATATTTGTGGCGGACAGTTGGTAAGCAAAACTAATCGGGTGAGTTAAGTTGTTAATGTGTGGCTGAACTGGAATGTTCTTATCCCTTAGATATTGTGCAAACCTTGGATTTAATGGACAATTGACGTTAGCTTGGCAATGTTTTAGGGCGAAAAAATATTTGTGTGCATCGAAAGGCGCTAAAAATTCTGCACGGAATGCTGCATCGTTGTTGCTATCGACCAAACGATTCAATTCGCTGTGCACATAGTATGCCGATAATCGCGTCAAGTCGGACATCTCAATCACAGCATTATCAATGATTGCCATTAATCGGCGTTTCATATCACAATCTCTATTGTTGGCGTTGTCAGCATTCGCTGCATTCATTTGATCTTTGTTTCGTTTACCACCAATAGGAGTTTCTCAAGAATGACCGCAGAGACATTTTGATGGTGAATGTCTCTTGGTTCGGATCCGATTGTTCACCTTTGCGGCGACACACTCGTTCATTGCGGAGCGGTTGTAATGGTGCTCTAGCCGGTGCAGCCGATGTCGATGGAATGGCCGGACTTTGAACTAACGAACGAGCGACAGACGGTGCCGTTTGTACACGATTTGAACGGCGTGCTGGTGGTTGTTGTGTGAAACGTGACGATGACGGCCGTGGCGCAGAGGTCAAACCACGTGAAGTGGATGGTTCGTCTC